CGCTGATTCTAGAACACCTGCATCCTCCCCTAAAGCAGCCCGTCCCCATCAGCCGTCACCTCCCCAGGACCCCCTCCCCCGGCCCCGGGCCCCCACGAGCCCCCTTCCCGTCCCCGGATGAGCCCGTTCTGGACGTTTCACACACACGGACTCCCCCCCCCCCCCACCGTGTGGCCTCTCGTGTCGGGTTCCCTCCCTGAGCGTCGCGTGTTCGGGGTCCGTCCGCGGGGCGGCGGGGGCGGGCGCCTCGCTCCTGCTGGCGGCCGAGGGACGTGTCGTGCGCGGTGGGCACGTTCATCTGTGCGCGTGAGCGCCCGCGGGGGACACACTGTGCGTGCTGGTTCGCCCGTTGGTGGGCAGTTGGCTTGTGTCCCCTCTAGGTGTTTATTAAGGGGATGCTATTCCTGAAAACACTGGAACCGGCCCATGTCTTGGGCCTTAAGCCCTCACGCGAGGCCAGGGGCCCCCGGGCCGAGAGCGAAGCGCGAGTCCCTGGGGGGCTTGGGCGTGTGGGGGCGGCGGGTCTCCTCGGCAGGGTGCTCCAGGTGCTCTGTCCTCGAGACCCCAGCGTCACTGTAGGCCACAGCCGCCTAACCGTGCTCAGTGCGCCTTCCCAGCGCAGGGCAGTGCCTGAGCCCGCACCCGCCTGTCCCTGTAAAGGCGCCCGAGTCCGTACTCCGTGGTGGCGGGCAGCCAGGTGTGTGAAGGGGGCCGCGTCCACAGCTCCCCGTCTCCCAACCAGAGCAGCAGGAGGCAACAGTCCTGTGGTCCCCAGAGACTTGAGCTGGGGGCGGGGGGGGGGGGTGGGGCCAGGGCAGATGGCAGGTGGCGGGTGGGGGTTCCTGGCTGCAGCCTGGCAGGTGGACCAAAGCCCCCTTGTCCACCAGCTTTGGGGCCAGAGGCAGGTAGCAGGGGCAAGACCCCGCCCTGTGAGCTGCCCTGCTCGGCGTGGGGGCGTCTGGGGGCGCCTGAGTCTCCCTGGATCCTCGGCGACCACGTCCCTTCGGTTCCTTGGTGGGCAGGGGGATGCCTAGGTCCCGCCGACACGGGTCCGTCTCCTTCTCTTCCTGAAGGCGGTCTCTGAGCGGAGCAGAGACTTCACTGGGAGGCCGGAGGTGACGGGCTGTGTGTGAGCCTCAGTCCTGGCTTTCCTGGCCTCCCTGAGCCCACCTCTTTGAACCTCCACGCCTGTGCTCACCCTGATCTGCTCTGCGGACTCAGGAGGCTGCCCGGCTCCCCTGGTTCTGGCTTCCAGGGTGGGCATAAGCCGCCAGGTCAGGGTCCTGGGGCCCAGGGGCTGACGGCTGCTCCCAGCATCCCAAAGCTTCTGGGGCATCCCCGTCGGGAGGCCTGCTGTGTATGAGGTACGGCCACAGAGGCTGGGGGTCGGGGTTCAGGCACCCATGGGACCGCCCCTCCTGAGCGCCCCAGGACCCCAGGAAGGGCCACCTGGCCTCATCCTGGAGCTCGGAGAGGGGCCCTTCGAACGCCAGGTCCCGGTATTTCAAAGGCTGGGAGCCCAGACCCGGGAGCCTCAGGCACTGCCCTCAGAATATGACAGCACCTCTGGGGACCCTGCAGGTTCAGATGAGGAGCCCCAGGTCTCACCGTAGGGGACAGAGAGGGGAGGGCCCAGACATGCCATCACGGTGGAACTGTGTCCCCTAGAAAGGTGTGTCCAAGTCCTAAAGCCTCGAGTGGGCCATCATTTGGAGACAGTCCTCGTGCGTGTGGTTGCGTTAACACAAGGTCATGAGGCCAGGCCCCGGCCCGGTGACGGGGACCGTACCCCATGGTGTGTGCGCTCACAGGGGCGTGTGCCAGGGCCGGTGCCGGGCAGGGGCGGCAAAACCGATCTGCTCCCTGGGCCTCAGTTTCCACCTCTGGATGTCAGGGCAGCTGGTGGTCATGGGTCCGATGAATTCGCATCTGTGAAGTGCCCGGGCAGCGCGTGGCACAAAATAAACCGCGTTGTGTCTGAAGGTGATGTGAAATGAAAAGAGAAAGCCAGTGCCCGCCCTCAAGAAGCGTGTAGGAAATGAGCTCGAGGGAGCTGTCTGTCCCTCTGTTCTCCTCTCTCTCTGACTTGACCAGTTCTAAGGGAAGGGACGGGAGGGTTTCTCGGAGGAGGCGTCATTTGAGCTGAGACTCCAAGAGGCTGTATTTCTGGTGAAGACGAGCATCCAGGCGAAAGGAACAGCAAGCACCAAGGCCCTGAGGCTTGGTGTGTTTGCTGGGCCACTAGGGGGTCGGTGTTGCTGGAGCAGGGGGAGGCAGAGGAGGACTTTGGTTTTTCTCCCACGGGCACTGGGGAGCCACAGCAAGGGTGACAGCAGTGGAGGGAGGTGATCAGGCCGCGTGCCCATCAGAAGGGCCACGCAGGGAGGGCTGCCCAGAGGCAGGGAAGGGACTCAGGCTAGAAATCCAGCCGAGGGACGTTTGGGAAGAAATTTCTCTCCTGCCCTCCCTCCTTTTCTGTGTCCACCCGGCTGAGATGGGACGGCACGGCCTTGGCGGGCACACGGCCGCGTGGCGAGGGCCCAGGTGCCCCCCGTCCGCTTCTTGGTGGCGACGGACGGCGCTTTCCCTCTTGGCACCCGGGCCCAGCGATGCCTCAGCTGGACAGGCGTCCAGCTGTGCGGGGCAGCCCCCAGTCACTCCTTCCCACCCCTGGGCAGGAGAGTGCAGCGCGGTCCCCGCAGCGGGACACGGGGTCCCCACGGTGGCAGTGGCGCCGGGGCTCAGGAGCCCGCCGTCACTGGCCGCAGCCTGGCTGGCTCATGCTGACTGGCCCCCCGGCCCCTGGATCCTTGTTCCACCTGACAGATGGGGAGACCGAGGCCGAGGAGCCCCAGGGCTGGTGTCAGAGGGGTGCGTGGATTCCCAGACCCCTGCCCCCGCCCCCTGCGCCCCTCCGCTCCCAGGACGCTCTCCCTTCCTCAAGTTTAGACCGATGCCTTAAACCGCTCGGCAGCGGGGGGGGGGGGGGGGGGGGGGGGCGTGAACAGCGACGGGAGGAGGGCCTGCACTGGGAAGGTCATCCTTTTTTTCTGCAAAAAGGTCAGCCGCAGACCGTTGCCAAGGCAACGGCGGGCTTAAAGATGGAGGCTTAAAAAGAACAGCGGGTCCCCCCTCGGGCTGGGCTGTCCCGTGCTGTGCTTCCCGTGCGTCCCGTGCGCGAGGGGCCCGGCCGCGGGCTCAGGAGGCCTGGGGGCTGGGGCAGATCTCGGCCCCGCCCTGTCCGGGGCCCAGCTGAGGCCGCTGTGCACCTCGGTGTTCTCGGCTGTGGAAGGGGGCCAGTGTCCACACCCGGGCGGGATCCCCGGGGCCCGTCTGGGGTTGGGATGAACGGGCAGAGTCCTGGGGGGGCCCTCCCCGGGGGAGCAGGCGGGGCAGGGAGGGGCTGGGGGCTCGGCCAGAGTCCCCGTATCTCGCCCCATGAGGACAAGCCGCCGCGCGAAGGAGGCCGGGGTGCCCTGTCCCCCTTCTTAGAGCCCAGGACAGGGACCCAGCAGCCCCTCTGGGTCTGAACCAGACCGGAGGCTCACATTCGCAGACCTGAGGGCGGCGGTCCCAAAGGAGGAGGCCCCAGGAGGGATGGCACAGGCCAGAGACCCCGACAGTGGCCACCGTTCAGGGTGCGGGATTTGAGGGCCTTCCCAGGCGGCTGGGGGTTGGGTGCGAGTGGGCATCAGCCCTGGCGACTGGGGGCCTCTGCTGAAGTTCTGTTGGGATACGCGGCATTGTCTACATCTCTCTCCCTGGAGGGCAATCTGGACTCGGGCGGGCCACTTACCTTAGGCTACAGTGTCTGTGACCATTGTTGTTGAACGGTGACCTCCCTGTCCCTTTCAGCGTAAACGGCGGAATTAGGAAGGCAGCTTTTTCATGGAGATGAAAGTCACACAACATACAATTAATCATTTTTATACGTACAATTCAGTGGCACTTAGTACAGTCACAGAGCTGTGCAACCATCACGTCTATCCAATTCTGGAACATTCCATCACCCCCAAAGGAAACTCCGTCCCCATCACTAGTCACTCCCCACCCCCCACCTTCTCCAGTCTCTGGCCCCCACGAGCCCCTTCCCGTCCGTGCACGGGCCTGTTCTGGACGTTTCACACACGCGGACTCACAGCCCGTGTGGCCTCTCGTGTCGCGTTCCCTCCCTGAGCGTCGTGTGTTCGGGGTCCGTCCGCGGGGCGGTGGGTGTGGACGCCTCACTCCTGCTCGCGGCCTAGGGACGTGCCCGTGTGTGGTTATAAAAAGGTAACTTTTTTGAAAACTTGTGTTGGGACGGGGTTCCCAGGGACTCGCCATCTGGGTGAACTGGGAGCCCCAGGGATAGCGGAGGGCCCCAGATGGTGTTTGTGGCCACAGGTGTCTGGGTCACCCATTGCCCCAGGCTGCCCTGGGGGCCTTCCAGTCAGGCTGGCCGTGGCCGTGGCCGTGGCCGGTGGGTCAGCAAGCAGATTAAGGCAGACCTGCAGTGGGTTTTCAGAGGCTTCACGAGCTCCTCCCGTGTGCTGGGCCTTGTGCCTGGTTCCCGGGAATCACGTCGGTGGGGAAGGCTCTTCCTGCCTCTTCCAGCTCCTGGGGTCCCATTGTTCCTTGGCTGGTGGCCTCCAATCTCCGCCTCCATTGTCAAGTGCCCTTCTCCTGCCTCTTAGAAAAACACTTGTCACTGGGTTTGGGACCTACCCTGATCAGGATGATCTCATCTTGAGATCCTTAATAACATCTGCAAAAAACCTTTTTTTATAAGTAAGCTCAGGGGCGCCTGGGTGGCTCAGTTGGTTAAGCGTCCGACTTCAGCTCAGGTCACGATCTCACAGTCCGTGAGTTCGAGCCCCGCGTCGGGCGCTGGGCTGATGATGGCCCAGAGCCTGGAGCCTGCTTCCGATTCTGTGTCTCCCTCTCTCTCTGACCCTCCCCCATTCATGCTCTGCCTCTCTCTCTCTCAAAAATAAATAAACATTAAAAAAATTTTTTTTAAAAAAGAAGTAAGCTCAAAATCAGTTTCCAGGGTTTATAACATGGACGAATCTTTTTTGGGGCAGGGAGGGTCCCCAGGCAGAGCAGGAAGAGGCCAGGCATGCAGGCCCGGATCCCTAGGGAGCCAGGTATGTTTCCAAATGTTCTGTGGCCTCTCTGCAGCTTGAGGGCAGACTCGGGTCGTTCCCTGAAAGTTCCAGAGGCCCGGTGTTGCCGCTGTCATGCGACCTTGGTGTCGGGACAGCACGGAGCATCATGTCACCCAGGGTTTGCCGTGCTGCTGTCTCCACAGCTCCTGGGGTTCTGCCCGTGGCCTGTAGGACGAGAGAAGAGAACGAGACAGGTGTGTGTTTAACTGGTGTTCTTGAGTCCGAGTTGGCCACCTGCATGGACGACGACACCAGGAGGCCTCAGCCCCGGGGAGCAGCCAGCCCAACCCTGGGACCCTGGGTTGAGCACCAACTGCTCCCTCTTCCCATTTTTTCTATTTTTTCATAACCATTACTCACAGCTCAGCAGCATGAAGCATGTCGTGCCGCCGCCCCCAGCACCCGTCTCCAGAACTTTCCATCTCCCCAGACTGAGACTCTGTCCCCATGAAACACGGACTCCCCGCCCCCTGCCCCACCCCTGGCTCCCACCGTCTATTCTCTGGCTCTGTGGACGGGACTCCTCTGGGACCACCTGTGCGTGGGGTCGCGCAGGACGTGTCCTTCTGTGTCCGGCTCCTGTCACTGCACACAGTGGCCTCCGGGTCCGTCCACGTGGTGGCAGGTGGCAGGACGTCCTTCCTCCCTGGGGCTGGGTCACATTCCAGCGTGTGGATGGACACACCGTGTTTGTCCTTCATCCATGGAGGGACCCTGGGGTGTTTCCACCTTTCGGCCGTTGTGAATCATGCTGCCGTGAATGCGGGGGTGCAGGTGTCTGTCTCAGCCCCTGCTTTCCATTCCCCGGGTGCACGCCCGGGATCTGAGTCGCCGGTCGCGCGGTGATTCCGTGGGTAACTTTTGAGCAGCTGCCGGCTGCTTTGCACAGTCCTCCCCACTGCATGTTGTCCCCAGCTGCGCACAAGGTCAAGTTTCTCCACTGGGCACCGGCTCCCGAGCCAGCCTTGCTGCCGTGGCGTTATTACAGAAGAGATCCTACGTTTGCTTGCTGAGCCTGTATCTACTACTTTTGCCGAAAATGCGGGCGTGGGCACCGGCCCCCAGCGGGTACGACCCTCTGCGGGACAGCCCGTTTGGAGAGATGCCCGCGTGGGAGCTCCCTGTCGGGGCCAGCTCCGAAGCAACGTTTGGGAGGGTGCCTCCTGTACGATGTGGCTGGCCTGCGTCCCCGAGCCTGTGGCCCTGCCGGTGCTCTGCACCAGGTCCGAGTGACCGAGTGTGTGAGTTTCCCGCGGCTGCCACGGCAAATGACCGCACAGAGTGGCTTCAAACAACAGAAATTTGTTCCCACCCAGTTCTGGAGGCCAAAAGTTCAAAATCAGGGTGTCACAGGCTCGCCCTCCCTCTGAAGCCTCCAGGGGATGATCCTCTCCCAGCGTCTGCTGGTTTCCTGGCCATCCCAGGCGCCCCTTGGCTCGTGGACACGTCACTCCAATCCTCGTCTCCGCTGACACGTGGCTTCTCTGTGCGTCTGTGTCCAGTTCCCCTCTTATGAGGACACGATCATCAGATTCAGGCCCACCCTGCTCCAGCGTGACCCCATCTTAACTAATTACTTCTGCAAAGACCCTATTTGCAAATAAGGCCCCATTCACAGGTTCCGAGGGTTGGGACACGTGGGGACCTTTGTCTCTGGGGGACACAACTGAACCCACAACACTGAGGGATGAGAAAACCCACCTTCTAGAGATTAGAAGGAATTCACGTAAATGCCAGTGGAAGAAAAAAGTCAAGCAAATTCTTTTTTATTTAAATGTTCATTTATTTAGAGACAGCGAGTGACAGCGTGAGAGGGGGAGGGGCCGAGAGAGAGAATCCCAAGCAGGCGCAACGTGGGGCTCAAACTCGATACTGAGAGATCACGACCAGAGCCGGTATCAAGAGTTGGTCGCTTCACCGACCGAGCCATCCAGGCGTCCCCAAGCAGATTCTTAGATGACAAGACATTCTGGCCAGAGGAGCCTGGGCAGGCAGGACGACAGAATACAACGTGAAATCCTGGACGGGATCCGGGAGCAGACAGAAGACATTACCGGAGAAATGGGTGAAATCCACTTCCTAAGGCTGGGATTTCTGTGTTACGACACGGGCAGGCCGAGTCCGAGGACCCCGAGGGAGCCCGGCAGGACCAGCCGGGAGGGTCCCCGGCTGCACGAGGGGAAGAAACCAAGCGCACTGCCATTGTCCTGGAACACGTCTGGGATCCGGGTCTTTTCAGGTGCCATCAGGTGTGTGGGGTCAAGGAGGAAAGTACAGAACGACCACCACCAGCTTCCTCGCCTCCCCCATGGAGTGGGAACAGACCCCTGGCTTACTCGGATGCAAGGGTTGCTACGGAGCAGGAGTCGCTGGGGCTGAGCCGAGAAACGGCAGAGACGCGGCCTTTTTGAACCTGAGCCCATGGCTCCAGACCTAGCGGTGTGCCGGGGCCACTTCCTGGAGGGAAGGTCAGGTGTGGACGTGGGGCGGGGGGAGCAAATCATTCGGAAATAAAAAAAAGCTCACTTAGAAAACACGGGCCAGGGTCATTCTTGAACCATAACGTCCTAGAAGAAATTCCACATAGGGATTTTTTTTTTTTAATCCTGGGGTGAGAGAATCGTTCGGAAGCACGCTCTGGAAGCCAGAAACCATAGGCAGAAAGCGTCCGCGATCTGACCATCGATCGACATGTTTAAAACCAATTACACATACGGGTGCACGGTGAATATCCTGAATTGAGAACACCTCTTGTAAATCATCAAGGACCAAGCCAAGAAAAAAAAAAAGAAAAATGAGCAAAGTGTGAAAACGCAGCTCTTAGCAGTGGGATGAGCGGGAAGGGGCCTTCGGCACTGGCGACCGAAGAGCTCACCCGAAGGGAGATGGCGTTTGTGTTCCGTTTTGTTTTTCCAGGAAGGGGCGGCCGTGTGGCTGATGAAGCTTTAAGCCGGTCACAGCGTGTATTCATCCTTCGCACTTATATAGGTGAGCCCCACGCCGATATAAAGCGTAACTTTTTACTAACGGTCCGTATAATCTATTGTAAAAAGTTTAAATTATGCCGCGTCAAGGAAGCCGGGCGGAGGAAGACAAACCCTGTGTGGTCTCACTCCTGCGTGGAATCTGAAACAGAAACCGAGCTCAGGGGGCACAGAGAACAGACTGGCGGATGCCAGAGGCGGGGGCGCGGGAAACGGGTGACGGGGCTCGACAGGTGCAGACTTGCAGTTACAAAGTGAGGAGGTCACCTGTCACGTGCGGGATAGGTAATGAGACTGTATTGTGAATTCGAAAGCTGCTAAGAGAGCGCGGCCTGGAGAAGACGGCGTGCACCTGTGCGTGGTGACGGGCGCCGACCAGGCCCGCTGACATCGGTTGGCCACGTACACGAACACCAAGTCATTGTGTTGTGTGCCTGAGACTAGTACGGTGTCACGTGTCCATTATATGTCAGGTTGCAAAAAAAACCCAAAAAACAAACAAAAAAAAACACGCAGCAGAAAAGAAAGTTTAAATGCACCGGAGGGCTCGTGGCATGCGCGTCAATGTGTGCGTGTTCCAGGCCCGGCGACTCCACTTCTAGAAACACGTCATCCGGGAGTCACCCCCTTCAAGGATGTGCTCTGTGCGTCCAGCGCCCGTGTCCCCGCCGGCGGCCGGAACAGCCCGCGCTCACCTTCGGGATGGCACTTTCACGTGGGGGGATCCCGAGGGGCCGCCCTAAGCGAGAACGCACGTCCGTATCCGGGGACAAGGGAAGAAACGGCCCATCAGACGGCGTGGGAAACAGGCCGTGACCCGGCAACTGCCCGATTCGTCCCTGGCATTCACCCCAGAGAAGTGAGACTTTCGTATCCGCGCAGAGCCCGCGCACGAACACGACGGCCCCCGATGGGCACCGACCCAGGGGCCCCTCAGCAAGCCAGCCGGCACCCGCACGCCGCAGAAAACCACCTGGCGAGACAAAGGCCACACTGCGGAGGGGCAACGGCCGGGTGGGCCCTCGGGGCTTGTGCTCCATGGGAGAAGCGCATCTCCAAAGGCGGGGAGAGAACATTCTCACGATGACACACTCATGGACACGGACAGCAGATCCGTGGGGCCCGGCGGTGGGGGGTGGCAACGGGTCAGCCGGGGGGGCTCTCCGCGGTGACGGGAACGCTCCATATCCTGACGGGGTGCCGGGCACACACGCGGACACGTGGCACAGCGGCTCAGAGCTCCGGCCACCCCGTGCCGGCCCCGCACTAGGCGTCAGCGCGGACGGAGTGGGCGCCGGGTGTAGGGGCTTCCCTGTACGCCCTTTGCGAGTGCCCGTGAACCTGTGGTCATTTCTAAAGAAAGAGTAAAAAACAAACAAAAAAACCTTCAGCAGCACGAAAAAAAAATGATCCCATTCGCATAAAAACACAAACTCCCTGAGGACGCTCACGGGATGCTGACATCGGTCCACTGTGGGGCCGCGTCTCCTGGTGTCTCTTCCTTCCTCCTTTGTCCATTTCGGAGTTAAAAAAAAAAAATGTTGTTCAGGGCGCCAGGCCGGCTCAGTCAGTGGAGCGCATGACTCTTGATCTCGGGGTTGTGAGTTTGAGCCCCACGTTGGGCGTGGAAATTACTTAAAACAAAAAATGCAGAAAAAAATTTTTAAGGAGAACGTATTCTTACGATACAAAAAAAAAAAAAAAACACACAAAAAAAACAGCTCAACATTTTTGGGAGACATCCGCCTGTATTCTGGGAGACGGTGTGTTAGGTTTTCAGCGCGCCGGGTGGTTGCACGGTCGCGTCACTGTCTGTGGTCCCCGGACCCAGCGGTCTGTGATTTTACAGTTGTCACTGTTTTCTCACAGAAGGGTCGCGCAAGGGCAGCGCTAACCCCTGCTCTGACAGGGAATTAGTGTCAGAGCCGGCCCGGGGCCGGGACCTGCTCCCGGACCCCTGCCCTGTCGCCTCCCCGTGCCGACCGACCCCCGGCCCCCGCGATGCCTCGCGGGCCCTGGCAGAACACTGGTGGCCTTCTTGCCGCTACGAGCACGCCGAGAACGTGAAAGACGGGAAGGCGCCCACGCCGCCCGTGCAGTTCTCGGCGCACAGGCGTCCACCGGACCCACGCTGGCCCCGAGCGGGCGCATCTGCCTGTGTCCACGCCTCCAGCCCGGTGCTCACGGACCACTTTTCTTTCCCCCGACGACGGACGTGTACCCCGTGCGTCACTTGGCCCCGCTGACTGTCGCAGCCTTTCCCCCCACGCACCCTGTCCTGTCCTCCCCGCTGGGCCGCGGTCTGCCTTCGCAGTCCTGCCCCCCTGCCCCCGGCGCCCGGCTCTGGACAGACGTCACCTCCTGGAGGAACGGAGCCCTGCGCTCGGCCAGGCCGGAGGTGATCTCCTGTCCGCGGTGGCTGACTTGAAAGTCCCCGAAGGCAGGCTGCTACCCCAAGCTCCCGTGACTGCCGTCGGGCTGGCGTCCTTCTCCTCCGCAGGTCAGTGGTCAGCGTTAGCTGCCTGAGCTCCGCCTCCCTCTCCCCGGGGCTCCTCTCCCCGGCCTGGGCTGGGCTCCCTCCGTGGGCTCCTCTCCCCGGGCCCGGGCTCTCGTCCGGCTCCAGCCAGGCCGGCCGCCCTGTGTGCGCTTCTCTGGGGGTGCTGGAGGCGTGGGGCTCACGTGGTGCCGCCACCGTCTCTCGGGACCCTGCTTTCTCGAGGGCCCCGGGACCGCCCCACGTGCCGAGCGCTCGGAAGCAGAGGGACGGGCGGCGGGGGGTAGGTGCCAGGCGGCTGTCCAACCTGTCCCTTGCCCAGGCAGCCCCCCAGGCCGGAGGGCCGCCTGCCCACTCCTCCTACGGGCAAGAAACGCCGTGTCTTGTTCTGCGTGTGTTTTCTTTGGCTCTAAGCGGAGTGCTGCCTTCCTTGCCCTTCTGGAAATTTCCCCCTGCAAACTATAGTAAAGTCTTAAGACCAAAACCCGGAAAACCCCAACAAACCCTCCACTCGGTGACCCACGGGAAGCAGGGAGAACCTTCTCCATCCTGGCGCCGACAGGACGGCAGACGGGTGTCCCTGTTGGGGAGGGAGGCCGCGGTGGGGTCAGGGGGTGGAAGTCAGGAGGGCGGGATGGAACGAGTGACAAGGGGCAAGCCGAGGGCCCCACATCCAGCCCCGGGGCACTCGCTGTGGGGCCACCCTCTCCGAGCTGTCTTAGGCCCCAGCTCTGACCCGTCCCAGTTCCAGGGCCCAGTGCTCAGCAGGACCTTCTCCCAAAAAGCTGTGCTGACTGCCCGCGGGGATGCCGGGCCCCAGGAGTCCTGGGGGGGGGGGGGGGGGGGGGGGCAGGGCAGGGGCACAATGGGCCCGCTGAACCCTCCCACGGTTCTGGTTCTCCTGAAATTGGATGGACACGGCTGCAGAAAGCCTCAGCCTCTCTCGCGGCCAGCCGGTGGTGCACAAAGCGGGCTGTCGTCCCACATTGTCTGCTGCCCCCGGGGCCACTGTGGAAATCGGGGGCCGAGAGCCCTTCCAGCCAGGCAGGCTCTCTTTGTCCCTGTTTTGTGTGTCATTTTGGGGAGACAATAGGGGACGCTTTCCTTTCCACCCTCCGGACAAGGCTGGTAACAGCTCTCTGCCGACGGCGGTCACGGTCGCACCCTCTTGCGTCTGGGTACTTGAGGGCTCCCTAGGGAGAAGGGGGGCCAGCTCCCGGCCTCGCACCCGCTCCTTCCCCCTGCGGGCTCTGCGGGGACTGGCCGTCCCGCCCAGCAGAATCCTGAACCGTGACCAGCGTCTATTTCCCCTTGGGGTCACCGGGTCTCCCTCGATGGCGAGCGTCTGCAGACGCCGTAGCCGTTGACGGGCTGCGAGAGCGGCTGGACGCAGGAGAGGGCCTCGGGCCGAGGGGCGCGAGGTGGAAACCCTGGCAAA